AGTTTTTAATCCTTTAATTTTCTTGGACGCGCAAGCTTCCAACCTTCCAAGGATGATATTTTTTGATATCGTCTTATAAAAAAAGAGGAGCGTTATGAAAAGCTAAGAGCCTATAAACTACAAAACCTGGTCACAAAGTCAACCCACAAATACTTTTCTACATTGATTTTTTCTGAACCTCTGAGACGTCATTCACCCAACTGTCTGGTCCTGAACTTTGGTTTTTCTTAACACATTGACGACAACGCGGGGGATATATATCCCGCGCATTGCAGGCCATGTCGGACCGTGCGGGATATATATCCCCCGCACCCATTACACTCATTTTTTTCGCGCACGCCTGATTCTTTCTAGAAGTTTCTTGTATTTATTCCATGGAAGAGACCTTGACGTAGCTACAAACATAGGAGGTAAGCAAACCAGCCCTTTTGGCGTTTCGGCTGGGACCGTATGCTGAATGTTGGGGAGGGGATGGGGTCCCCAACGGTCGACGGTTTACTTCAACTCGGTTGGTACGATAGGAGAGTACTGACGCAAGTGGTGCAGCTGGTCCAGCAGCTCCGCCAGAAGGGCTGGTTTGCTCACCCCAGGACTAAGCCTTGGAGAGGGGACGGACCCGTCCTCTCTTTAAGGCTTAGTTCTGAGGTAAGCACCAAATTGTGGCGGTTCTAAGGACCGAGTTGAAGTGGTCCGTCCACCGTCGGGGACTCCATCCCCTCCCCAACATTCAGCATACGGTCCCAGCCGAAGCGCCAAAAGGGCTGGTTTGCTTACGTCCAAACATAGTGGCCCTAGAATGGTCACGTATGCTTTAATTTAGAGGAGGATTTCTGAACCATACGAAATCTTCAGTTCAATAAATTTTTCGTTTACTTTTTCTTTTTATGAATGTGAAGATTTAAAGTAGTAGAAGTAGATAAGGAACCTTAGGGATGACAATATGTGTGTTTTGATTGGAATAATCAACGTAAAATTGCTTTTGAGGCCCACTGCAGCTAGTTCCACTACTGTACCCCTGGCTAGGTTGCGCTCATTACAATTTACTAATCTGGTTTTGTATTGATCATTAGTTGTGTATTTATCACTCAAAATCTGCTTGACCTGAGGCGAGCGCGCCCGCAAAATCGCCGCGGTCCCACGTGGCCAAAAAAGCCAAAACTCGCGTTGTCGTCAATGTGTTAAAGCATACAGTAGCGGTCAAAAGTTTGGAAACTTTTTTATTTTTGATCTAGCGCGGCCGACACATAACGAAATTGCCTCAAATTTAGATATTACATACAAAATCAAGTCCAGAATACGATGGGAAGAATAATTTCCAAAAATCTATAATCATGTTCAAGAAATAAGATTTTCAAGAAATAAGCGAAAAAGTTTTGTTTCCCTTATCATTATGATTCCTACTCTTCAATGTTTACTTGTTTCTGTTAATTTTAGTTCAACCATTGAGTAATGTGTAATTTCAAAATGAATTCATATGCAAAGGAAGCAGTTTTTCCATGGGGTCCTTTTTTTAAACCCTACAATCCGGAATACGAAATTGAAATTGTTTCTTAGTAGTTCAGTCTCTACGAAAGCAATATTATCGAATGTTTTTAGTGTTTTTGGAGTCGAGTAAGCATAAGAAGAATGATCATTCACAAAAAAGTATTCTCACAAGAAAATTGGCCCTCCTCAAATACTTCGAAGGGTGGTTGGCACGCCCCGTACCCCCGATATGCCCAACTAAGAGACGATTTTTCTCTTTGAACCTAATCGTATGAAAGTCCAAGCACAGCCCAACATCGGCCGCGACCTGGTGAATATTACGGATGATATCCCAACAAGAAGCCATTGGGCTTTTGGGAGCAGGATGGCCCAACTGGCTTCCGCACACTAACGGCTAACATGGACCGAAGGCGAGAGGTAAAACTTTGTCCTCAGCGACGAGCAGGATTTCTGTCTTCCTAAAAATGATGTTGTGGACCCTGTGAAGTGTTCAGTCAAATGGAAACCTCATTTGAGTATAAGATCCCAACATTCAGAAATAGTGGAAGTATTGCCATGGATGGTCCGGCCAATTCCCCAGTTCTATGTATCCAGCAAAAGTTGTGGGTTGGGCTAAGTACAAGAACAGTCTATAGAATACAATGCTTCTCTTCGATAGTCAGAACTGGCCGAAAAGATGGGTTTTCTATCGTGGAAATGACCCAATGCAGGCCTACCTCCTCACTGCCGCCTTCCTAAACCCAGAAAAAGAAGCTGTTATGAAGCGACCAAGTCGAGATCTAAAGTCCAATTGAGTTCTACATCCCACGGAAGAACTGGCATGTCGCTCAACCCACATTCCAGTTAGGAATCCCACCAAACAATGCGATTTAGTTCACAGTGTGCAGGGTTCGACTTAAAAGTCCTAAAATTATTTTATAGTCACTCTCCGTGTCAATAAAAACGACGCTGACATAGAAATTCACAGCTACTCATCGAATAGTTAATTTATCATGTAGATTCGAGAGCTATATTGTCGAATTCGCTGTGAAATTGAGGGTTTCCAAACTTTTGACGCGCCATTTCTTATAAAAATTCGTATTTTTCAAAAGGGAATCTCGTTTTCAAAAAAATTGTTGCTATCGTAATCTACACTTGATTCTGTATATAATATGTGAATTTGGGACAATTTCATTGTCTATTGGCTACACTAGATCAAAAATAAAAAGTTTCCAAAACATAGAAAGGACAGAAATACTCGCTTCGGAGTAATTTCTGAACATGTGCTCCACTCACGTCACGGCGTCGATATAACACTTGGAATCACTTGTTGAATGGCAATGATCATAAAGGATATCAAAAACCACGTACCTTCTCTTGACGCTCTCATCTGCTCGTCGCTGAGTTGCTTATTTGTGACAATCTGTTTTTGAGGACCGGTTTGCCATTCATTAGCATTTACATCTGCCTAAATTGATGGCATCAAAATAACTAGTTTCGCTGCTCACGAAACCGTGCGCGACACACGACCGCTGACAAATGGAATACTCATAAGATGAACTGGGCTGGCTCCTACTGACTGGGTAGTCCAGTGTTCGTCTTCGGCCACCTTTCCCCTCGCCAAGAACCTTGCTGGAAAAGGTTTGATAGATTTGTTTCTTCGACTACAGCCGGATACGGCTACATGTACGCTCTGGGAGGCGGGATGCCCGGAAGACGCCTCCCATCTCCACCCTTGACAAGGCACTCCTTATCCTATACCTACTGTCCCACCTTCCACTTTGCACCCTCCCTTTTCACCACACACTCAAGTACCAGAAATATTCGTACCAATTTTTAATTCTGAAAGTCCAAACTCTTCCTTCCGCCTCAAATGTAATCGTGAGTTCCACTATCGTGGGACAAATTCTATTACCTCTTTCCACCATCCTTACCTGCCATCATTTCCACTCATTTGACAGGACATTTAACAATTCATTCAAAGATGGGAAATGATGGCAAGTAAGGATGGAGGAAGAAGGTGACAGTATATGTGCCACGATCTTGAAAGTTACTATAACACCCAAGCCTGATTGAAGAGCTCCGATTTTTAGAATGAATAAGTAGGGGAGGGAGGGGTTATCTGTAGTGTTTGATAATGTGTTATCAAAAGAGAGGGCTTAAAGTGGAAGGGATGATAATATAGGGAACGCCGTGACTCCCAAAAATGAAGAGCGCCCATCGCAACCGTGTGACCCAACCAGTTCAAGCCATCAAGTGGAAAGGTGGCCGGAAACGAAGATGGACC